CAATGATTCAAGGAAATCAAAAGGGGACATACCAGGGAGAAAGAAAAAGACTTCATTTAAAAGTTAATGTAGTCATTTAAATATGTAACCAAAATGAGTAGATCAGTCACTAAACAATACAGACGTGCAATGAGAGAAAACCTCACACAAGAATAACAGCAGGAGGCTTTGGGAAAATGTCCGCTTTCCCTCCCAGGTGCTCCTCTGAGCTGTCTACAGCTCCTACAGTTCCCACGGGAGGAAGTCTCCCTGAAACACAGGCCGACTTTTTACAAAAGTGACTACAATGGTTGAATAAGTGGCGCTGAAACAGTCATTGTGGAAGTCACCACGTGGAGCAATAGTCAAAACTTCACCACCCGCCGAGATGAACGAACTCTCCATGGCTCAGTGCTCACTGCGCAGCCTTTCCAATGCACGCAGACGAAGCTCACAGTTGCTAATTAGTGTGAGTATAGCATTGCATTCTCTGTGTTTATTTAATAGAACCTCATAACTAAACTATTTTTTCCATTTTACTATAGTCTTCACAACTATTATTTTAATGGTTACATTACATTTCATCTATTATTATTTCTTTTCTTTTTTTTTTTAAAGATTATTTACTTATTTAAAAAATCCCTTTGGGATGAGTCAAAATGCATAAATATTCCTCTTCATCTTGAATGATTTCCCAGCTGCTTTCTGAACATGTGGAATAAGTTGTGTTATAAGTTGTGTTATAACTCGTCACCCCGGGTTACCAGGTAGGAAGGGCCCACACAGGCCAGCCAGCGGTTAGTCTGAGCAGGTCTGTTAGGCTGGCGCCCATTAAGGGGAGGTCATTAAGCTCATTTTCCTCATCCTGGTTTCCTCACCTGAGGAAAGGAGGGTTTGAGTGACATCATCTTCAGAGACTATCCGGCTTTAAATGCCTAAATCTCAAGCAAACTCACATCCATCCTTCTGAGAAGTCTCCCTGTGTATGTCTTAGAAGAATGGAGAGATGGTGCCAGTGTCCACAGGAACACAGCCCGGAGACATGCTGCACTCAGGGAGCTGTAGGAGGCCTGCTCCAACACGCTTCTCCACAATGAAAGACAGGGAGAGAGAAAGGAGGACAGACAGACAGAGGAAGAGGAAGGAAGGAGGAGGAAGGAAGGGAGAAAGAGAGGGAAGAAGGAAGGGAGGAGGGAAGAGAGGAGGAAAGAAAGGAGGATGGAGGAGGAGGGAGGAGGAAGGGAGGGAGGGAGGAGTAAAGGAAAGAAGGAAGGGAGAGAGGGAGGGAGGGAGAAAGTAGGAAAGTGGGAGAAGGAAGGAGGAGGGAGGAGGAAGGAGGAGGGAGGAGGAAGGAAGGGAGGGAGGAGGAAAGGAAAGAAGGAAGGGAGAGAGAGAGGGAGGGAGGGAGGGAGGAAGGAAGGGAGGAAAAAAGGAAGGAAGGAAAGGAGGAGGGAAGGAAGGAGGAAGGTGGGAGGGGGAAGGAGGAGGGAGCAGTGGCACTCAGGGGACTGAGTACTTGTGCGCAGTGGCACAGTCTGTTCTCAGTGCGGGCATAGGCGGGTACAGGCCCATGGCAGGAAGGACCTTAAATCCGCTGGTCACCTGGCTGCTTCCTTCCATTCCCCACCAGTTCCAGGCTGGGACGGACCCACCTAAGAAGGACCGGGCTGCCCAGGCGTTCAGCTCTCTCCTCGGGCTGCGCTCATCCTTAAACACTCAAGGCTTCTGGGTTTGAAGAAGAGATGGCCTTCTGGTGACCATCAGAAAGGCAGTGGACAGGACAGAGATCCGTGCTCAGCTCCCCGAGGCCATCCTTCTAGCCGGGCCCAACCCTGCGCCAGGCCCTGCACCCCGCTCCTGTTCAGGCTTGCTCCTGGACGGCAGAGGAGAAGGCATTCTGGCTACACCCACAGCACCCCATTCCGGGGCCTCCCCCCTCCCCCTCTCCTCATCACAGCTGCAGCAAAGGGCACTTAAGAGGAGAAAGCCGCCTGGTGGGGAGTGGGCCTGCCCATTAGGAACAGCCATGTCCCTTCCCTGCCCTTTCCCGTGTGCTTTCTGAGTTGTTGCCTCCTTTCTTGGCTAAAACAACTTCAGCTGAAACTTAGGAAGTGTCACAAGCTATTGATCTGAGAACAGAGGTGGTTCACAGGCTCGTATTTCATCGCTAAGTGCGGCTGCCACACCGCGCCGGTTTCACTAAACTGACATTCTCGCAGGAAATATTGACAACGTGGTGACATTAAAATGCACTTAACCCAGCCAGGTCTGAGCCTTCCTCTGGATTCCTATCAGAAATCACTCCTGCGGCTGCAGGACTTCTGAGCGGCTGAGCCCGGTTTTCGTAGGGGAGCAATTGGGCCCAAGACGATTTGTAAAAGGAAAACCGGGCACATGAATTCTTTCTGCCTCTCACGGGGCAGAACGGGACCTAATTCTGTGAAGCCCCTGCATCACGGTGCAGCCTGTAGGCCTGCCTTCCACCTTCCACCAGCACATGCCTGCTTAAAGGGCAGGATGCATTCCACACTGAACCTCAATACCGCGTTTATTTATTCTTTTTTTACCCTCACCCAAGGATATGTGTGTTTTTTTAATTAGAGAGAGAGAGAGAGAGGGAGAGAGAGAGAGAGAGTGAGAGATTGGTCGGTTGCCTGCTGTGCGTGCCCTGACCGAGAATGGACCGCCACGCCTGTGCACAGGACTATGCTCAACAAACTGAGCCACCAGCCAAGGCCTAATGCACTTTTATTTTTATTTTTAACGACAGAACTATCATTACACCAAAGGGAAATGAAAGGCATTTAAACAGCAAGGGAAGTGTCCCTGAGGAGGAAAAGCGGGGTGAGCAGCATTTGGACGGACCTGGGAGGGATGTCCTTCCTTGTCCCCGGATCCTCACTGTCCCCGGACCCTCCCCGGTCCCCGGACCCTCCCCCATCCCCGGACCCTCCCCCATCCCCGGACCCTCACCCGTCCCCGGGGCTGGACCTGCAGATCCTCCCCCGTCCCCGGGGCTGTGTGGCTGGACCAGCTCAGCCGGATTGTGGGCTCAGGGTCCTTAAAACCACGGAGCTGACTACCTTTTACCCCAGACCCTGGGACCCCAGATCACAGAATGCTGGTATCTCTGCTTCTCGTTTACAGCAGAGGCACGTGTGACCATTCTGATTGGTAAGTAGCTTAATTCACTCCCTCAGCTTCCCCAATGTGTTGGACAGGAATACGATCAACCCTATACTTGGAGATGTGGCCCTATGAATAACAAGAATGAGTATCTAGTAAAAAGGAAATTAATTCTCTCTATATTGGTGTTGGGCACATACTGCAGTCAGTGTTTCTAACAAATATCTAACAGTGCAGAAGCTCTGCATTTTCCTGCCACTTAAATCCCCGGGAGACAGGCGTTCCCAGATCACAGAGCAGAGGCATGCACGGGGACCGAGTACTCGTGAGCAGGGGCATTCACAGGGACTGAGTACTTGTGAGCAGGGGCACTGACGTGGTCTGAGTACTTGTGAGCAGAGGCATTCACGGGGACTGAGTACTCGTGAGCAGGGGCGCTGACGTGGTCTGAGTACTTGTGAGCAGGGGCACACACGGGGACCGAGTACTTGTTTGAAAGCACAGATGTGTCTTCCTGTCATTGAGCAAGTACAGCAGCGCTCCGAGAATGCTCCCTGCGCAGGAGTTATCAGAGAAAGGGGGTCCTTTCCCCGCCGGGTGCAGCTGGGGTGGAGCTCTTAGGCTATTCTGAGAAAATGGATTTTGAGGCTCGTGTGGGACAATGAGTGATTTTATTTGTGTGGAACTGCATCCTGTATTTCTAACATCCCTTCCCCGAGTCAGCAATAGACATGCAGCTGGAATTCAGTAGCGCTAACAGCAAAGTCAGTTTTCCTTTCCCTGGTGGAGCCGGGCCCAGCTCAGCCTCAGGCCGGTTACAGCCATCAGTCATTACTGTGGGGTCCCCAGGGCGTGGGCCATGGGGAATGCAGGAGAATGGCCCCAAGCATCAAGAGCCCCACAAGAACAATAGAGTGAATTCCTCTGTTCAGGGGATTAGATGCCCCAAATCTTAGTCCCCTTGCAGTGGCCACGCCCATTTTGGCCAGTGACCTTTGTGCCAGGTGTGATTGACAGGGAGGGAAGTTTTGCACGGAACATGCCTACACTGTCCAGCCCTCCCTTGGCTCCTTTCCTGTTATTCATAACGAGGTTAATTACAGCAGGATCATTAGTAGAGGCTAGTTTTTCCCTTTTATTTTATTGTTATTCTTCCATTACCATTTATCCTCAATATACCCTCTTCTACCTCTAACACACTCCCCAAGATTAGTTTGTTTTTTAAGATGACATTGAGCAAGTCCTCCTGAACTATTTTCGATGCATGATCACAATCCTATCTAATAAAACCCTAATATGCAAATCAATTGGACAGGAATAACTGGTCATTATGATGCTCTCTGACCACCAGGGGGCAGATGCTCAACTGCTCCCTGGTGGTCAGTGCGCTCCCGCAGGGGGAGAGCCACTCAGCCAGAATCCGGGCACACAGCTGGCAAGTGCAGCGGTGGTGGCGGGAGCCTCTCCCACTTCTGTGGCTGCACGGGAACTGGCCTAAGCCAGCAGGCAGACATCCCCCAAGGGCGTCCCAGACTGCAAGAGGGCTCAGCTGGGCTGATGGACCCCCCAAGTTTACAAATGTCATGCACCGGGCCTCTCGTTGTCCTGTAAGTGCGGGAAGCCTTGGGGACTTGATGTTTCAATTACATATGATCTGCAGCACTTGTTTTCAACACCCGCAGAGAAATGTCCTGAACACGGGGAGAAACCGGGCTTCTATCTTATTAAATTAGTGTGGTTTCAATTTCACGTTATCTGTCCTTGCTCAGCCTGGAGTATTACAAGTTCATTGCTCTGCCTGGCTATACTGAAAGTTGAAACTCAAAGTCATTTTCTGCCTTATTGACTTGCAGGAGCATATGGAAATTATCTTTGTCAATGAGGAGAGTACTTACAATTTTTTTTCCTTCTATTAACACTGTAGACAGATTAGTTTCAACATTCCGCAGGATCACATTTCCTTTCTGCTCTTTGTAGATGAATTCGTTATCTGCAAGAGAGGAAATTAAAAAAGAAGCATGAGACACGCAGGAGCTCACCCAGCCTTTGACGGACATGGTGTGCACTGAATGGACTGCTTCTGAACGGATGCATCCTGCATGCACCCAAGGGGCCTTTAGCTCCTCTTAACATAACCTCCTGTGAACCCCGTCTCTGAATCTTATCTCCTCGCCTACACGCTGACATTTAAAACACAATGTACACTCACAACATTTTTGGAATGTTCTAGAACTTTTTCGGAGAGGACACACAACGTGAGCACAGACAGCAGATTAAAGGACCTGCTACCAAAAGGGATGGAAGATAATGGGCACTAAAAGGATCAATTTCTTACATCTAAAATTTTGGGGTGAAATCTGTATGTGTGCACACACAAATACCTCCATCCATTTCCTTCAAAATCGTTTTCATTTTGCTATTCCTTCAGGAATTGGCTGTTCCTCAGAGGTCTTTGACCATCCACACTGTATCCTCAGTGACATTGATACTTTGTATCATTAATCACCCACTTAGAAAACTAATAAAATGGGGTACACTGAACAGTGTGCACATAGAGGCATGTTTGCCTACATGCTGGTGTGTGGCCTGTGTGTGTGAACACTGTGACTAAAGGGAACTTTGATAGGCTTGGTGGTGAGAGGCAGCACGTAAAATAAAAAAAATAAAAAAAAATACTGTCTTTCTGGGGGAAGGTATAACTTTGAGCCAGTGTGATGGAAAAGGCCTCTCACACAACAATGGACACCACCAGGCAGGCGGATGGATGCCAGTGGGAGTGCCTGTTCTGGTCTCTCGATCCTACTTTACGGAACTGCATTCTTTTCCTTTTTATTCCTTCCTTTTACCTGCCCGGACTTTCATTTTCTCTCTTTTTCTAGTTTGTTGAGATGGAAGCTTAGCTCTTTGGTTTCATCTTCCATCTTTTCTAATAAAACTACTAAAGCAAGAAGTTCCCTCTGTGGATGGTGTTAGCCACATCACAAATTTTAATGTGCTTAATGGCATTTCTGTGAGGTTTAAATTATCCCTGATCTCCCATGTAATGTCTGCTTGGCCCAATGGCTATTTAGAAACACGCTGTTTAATTTCCAAGTATGCAAAGTTACTCTGGCTGAAGGCACCCGCCCCTGCCTGGACTTTTCCAAACGAGTCTGAGCCCCCGGTGTTTACTTAGGCACGTTCTTGCTTAAAGGACACTGCAGACACATGTGTCTTTGCAAGGCTGCTTGCCCTGCTGGTAGTATCTAATAGTTAAGTTTAGTTCTGTTGTTACAATAAAAGCCGAAGGAGGCATGAGAATGGGGCTGTTTGGTCCCTGTAGCCAAGCAGCCCCTTAGCCTCTTTCACAGAAACGTGTGTCAGAGGAATCACTCATCTGTCACTCGGGGCTGCAGGTCAGCCCCGGCAAAGCGGTGCCCGTGTGAGGGCCAAGGAACGCAATGAAACACAGCAGAACCCTCAAAAACGAAAAGCAAGGAAATGAAAGTGACTGCGCAGGAAGTCATTGGAGCCGCCTGGGATTTCCAAGTTTGAGGGGGTTGTTTCCCAGCTAAGGAATTCACTATCTCGGCTATGCTTCTTAAGAATGTGAGTATGTTTTCCATTAGAAAAACAAGCCTATTTCTGAAAATAAGGGAAAAAAGGCTTTTCCTATATTTATCTAGGAAGCAAAGATTTTATATGTTATCAAAATAATCATATTAATCAGGAAGTTGATTACTTTAAATGGCTAGATTACTTAATAATATTTAATAATAATAACAATAATAATAATATATAATCTTTTAGTTTAATGTATTTGTCTACCTTCCCAGGGTTTGAATTTTAAGAAACTTTTCCTTGACCTAGAATTGGCTTTAGGTCATTCCAATGGGCCCTGGAATGCCTCAAGGATTTGCTTTCTCTTCTTAAAAAAAATTTTATATTTAAGGTATATGGGAAGCTCTGTCAAATAAGGAAATGATAATTATATTCTACTTATATATGCATATTAAATAGATTCTGATATGCTTTCATTTATAACTAATTGTTATAAGTTATCATATTGTGGAATATTGTGTTTTGCAGAAAGACAAGATTCCATGTCATTTGCATTATAATCAAATCAATAACTGTGTCATTTTAAATTTCTTGTCATTTGGAGACATTTAAAAAATGTTACATCTTCTGAGGGATCCATGGAAAGGACTCTGATTTATTTTAAGCTACGTATCTCTGAGAATAAACTTTCAGATCATCCCCTCGAATTGGATAAAAATTATTAGAACTCTGTAGAGTATCTGGATTTATAGAAATATGGCAAGAAAAATCAGGAGAAAAGAATTTGATTATAGGACTAATGAGCTAAAAATAATTATAGTTTTAGTAATTATCACTCTCATGGCAATGTGTTTGTTTGCATGAATCCGATAAGAATATGATTTCTTCGGAACAGGACATGAGTCAGTTTCCAATTATAGTTTTATTAACCAAAACTTTGCTGGAATGTCATATCTGAGAGACCTGCCAGGACTCTGGATGCCAGCAGAAAGCTCTGAGGAGTGAAGAGTAACCTTGAAGCCAACAAGCCCCTTAGATAAATAGCCCGGACCCTTGCTTGGTCACGTGGTTCATGGCAGTATTTAGGTACAGAAAACAGACTGACGGTCGCCAGACAGGAGGGAACTGGGTGGGAAGAGTGACTGAGAAGTACAGATGGAGTGACAGAACAGCCACAGGAATGGGTTTCTAAGCGCCCACATTGATCACCCTCGTCCCCCACTTCTGTTTGCACCTGCTCAGTATGCTGGCTGCTGGGCTAGGCTTGTGCTCGCGCGGACATTCAGCAGGAATGACAGCCAACAGCCGCGTGCAGCTCAGAAGGCAAACGCTTCCCCTGCCCACCAACACCACGGGCTGACGTAAGCTCTCCTTCCCCAAACACTCTCCTGCACCGCAGTTAGTCTACAGAACAGTCACATCAGCTAGATCCACACGGTAACGCCCACCTGAGCGCACGCACACACTGCACACACACGTGCACCCTGCTCTTGCCGAAGTACCTGATCTTACGAGCAATGCACCAAACCTCCAAACCTGCTCTGGTTTGCTTTACATCCAGTCCGCTCACTAGCTGCTTCCCACGGCTCTTCTGAGCTGGACACTGTGCAGGAGCCGGGCCTGCCGTGTGCCGCGGCCCCTGCAGCGCGGCCAGACGGGAGGCGGACACTCCGCGTTGCCTCTCACCGAGGGCGGGCCTCAGCCCTGCCAGCTCAGGGCACCCACAGTTATTGAGGAGGCGCCGCCCCCCGCCAGGCGCCGCTCAGGGGGCCAAGGCAGACAGGCATGACCTCGGGCGCACCCAACACGGTCTCCACCCCCTGTCCTTGCTGTTCTCTCTGTGACCCCCGCCTTGTGGGCCACTCTGCTCTGAAGGGAGGGGCCCTGTCAGGGGACGTGTGGGTGGCTTTCCAATTAGCCAACACATAATGAACATTTCAAAAGAGAAAAATAAAAATTGTGATAAAGACCAGAAAGCATGAGAGTGAAACGAAAATTAGGCATGACATTTTGATGGCAAGGGACAACCAGACATGTTGCCATGACAACAACAAACACCTGGGTGTGAAATCACCGGCACCGAAGAGACACCTTTCAGCAGTGCACCGTGACGGCCACAAGGAGAGCAGCGTGCAGGCTGACAATCTGCCTTCTACTGACGCCCCGTTTCTGTTTTGTGATCTAGTTAAACCATTAGCAACAAATATCTCCATTTCGTGATTGCTTTTGAGTTTCATGCATCTTACATTCTCCTCTTAGTTCCGGGGTGAATGGTTATGCCTGAGCAGAGTCGACCTGCAGGGTCTTATCCAGTGGGTAAGCCATTGTTCTTCCCGGTTTGCCCGGTGCCCCTTCCTCCTGCAGGGACCTGCCACAGAGTCCATTACACGGTGCACAGGCCTGTGAGCCACACTGTTCTGAGTCAGTTCATGGGGAGCAGTTCTCAGGAGACCATTAGTGTCATCCTGGCTCTGGGCTCTAATTCATTTTCCTCCTGTTAGTGGCTCTTCACTGCCTCTGTGCCTTCACAGGCTGGTGAGCACAGTCTTATTGCATGTTTTTGGAGTTTTGTGTGTCTTGGAATGTTTCCATCTGAACCAACAACCAACCAGAATGTTGTATAGATATTAAAAAAGGACATTTGACCATCAGGAAAAGCAGAAAACAATCACATAGAAAATCATGCTGTGGAATCTATCTATCTATCTATCATCTATCTATCTATCTATCATCTATCTATCTATCTATATAAAAGGTTAATATGCTAAGTGTCTGACCTTCCAACCAGTCACTATGATGTGCACTGACCACCAGGGGGCAGATGCTCAATGCAGAAGCTGCCATGATGCACACTGGCCATTTACAGAGAATGGCACCATGGACCTGGCGCCCACAAAGCAACACTCAGCTTCCCCCAAGGCCCTTCCACCACCCCAGAGCAACAGCCCACCAATTCACAACCAATGCTGCCAAGCCCCATTTTGCTGTGGGGTGCAAAATGCGGCCCACAGCCCAGCCCAGCCTGGAAATGGGGGCTGTGGGCTCTGGGTGATGATGTCATGTAGCAATTAGCCTTTTTGCAGTTTCTTCGGCCCAGGAACACGACTTGCTTTATGGCCAGGTGGGATTGGGCCTAAACGGGCAGTCGGACATCCCTCTCACAATCCAGGACTGCTGGCTCCCAACTGCTCACCTGCCTGCCTGCCTGATTGCCCCAACCACTTCTGCCTGCCAGCTCGATTACTCCTTAACCACTCCCCTGCCAGCCTGATTGATGCTTAACTGCCCTCCCCTGCAGGCCTGGGTACCCCCTCCCCCCTGCCCAATTGCCCTTCCCCACAGGCCCAGTTGCCCCCAACTTCCCTCTTCTGCTGGCCTGGTCACCCCTAACTGCCCTTCCCTGCAGGCTTCATCACCCCCAACTGCCCTCCCTTGCAGACCTGTTCCCTC